GTTCAATAGCGGAGTGCTGAAGAAACGTGCTGAAGAAACGTGCTGATAGGTCTTCAAGCTTATTTTCCTCAGAGCGAGACAGAGAAAAGTCCTAAGAGAAATGAACTTAGACTTTAAAATTCAAAGTGGACATATGTTAATATTAAAGATTACTTGTCCACGTCTTTCTCCTGAACACCAACAAGGATTATTCTCAAAAGCTTAAACTCATGAACTAAGTAAGAAGCATCTTTCCTGTTGCAAGCAGCAAAACACACATTCAGTAGGCTTGCAATACACAAGCTTTTCCCGAAAGATGCTAAACAATGTGGTGATCGTGTTCCACGGCTTCCCTGAAGACAGCCACCAAATAGAATCGAGAAGCTCTACCCCACCCGGAGTCTACTCCACCAGAAAAGCAATTAAACCTGGTTAAAAGGCTTTCTAGAAAAAGGCGTAAAACTCAATCTGGCAGGCTTTTCCCGAAGTTTTTCCAGTATCTCAGTTCTGCTGGAGCCAGAACCATCCAGCCCATACTTTTCAGTGGAAAAAAATTAGTTTCCCCTTCTCTAATATAAATAAATACAAAGTCAAAGACACCGTTTCCTATGCAAAAAGCTCTTTTGGAACTATATTGAAAACAAAAAAATGTCATGAGGTTGCACTTGAGACAATTTAATAATTCACCATGACTTTCAAAACTGAGGCAATGCAGCCAAGTTTGTTTCAAAATATGAGACGGCATATCCAATTTTGAGGACCCATAAACTGACACCAGGAGGAGAGTTAGTTACTGAGGAGACACGAGTTATTTGCCCAGTTCAGACAACAAATCCGTGGTGACAGTGTTCTGAAGTAAGAGCAAATGATCCCTACGTCCGGCAATGTCTCCCTATCCATCCAGTTTCAGTGTTGTCGTTATGACCAATTCCGTCCCCCCCATTTTCTGCCTACTTCTTAGTTCGTAGCTAACGGAGGGGGGGACACAGCTGAGCTGAAGATAAGGCAGCACCAGAATAGACGGCACCCAGTTCCCCTGCACTTTCCCGTAAGGACAGAAGATCTAGGCACCGCTCCAGAGAAATGCCATATTCAAACAGAGTAAGTGGCTGGGGCCTGCACATACTGTCTGGTCTGGACAACAGAATTCCAGGATGTGCTCGACAGGAGGGGGCGGTTTCGTTCCCCCCTCATGCGGAGGTCAAATCACGTTTGCTGTCACATGAACACAGACCGTGTTTCTTCATTTTGAAATTGGGACAATAAGGCCAGGCCTCTCGGGACTGAGAAATCTTACATAAGAAGTGCGGTAACACGTGTGAAAGCACCTAGCTAGCTCAGTGCCTGGCGTGTGATATGTACTGAAAACACAGAGAAAAAATTTACTTGAATACTATCTAGGTTTGACATTTGAAAGTGGATAAATGTATTCTATTATTTTCTACTTGCAAAATGCTATCTGTAATCAGCTTTGGACCATCATGGACCCCTCATTCTCTGTCAAGTTTCTCCTCTCATCTGACACGCTCCTGGGAAGCGTGTCTTCTCCCTCCGCCCCATCCTTCCCACCTGCGTTACCTCCATGTGGAGAGGCACCAGAGTAAAATGTTTGTGCCAAAGCTTGTGTGCGAATGGCAGTAACAACAGTAATTTCTACCTTGTGCGATTGTTGAATGAATGAAATGAGTACATAAATGTAAAACACTTAGAATATCATAGGCGTGTTAGCTTCATTAAATATCTAACACCTTAGGCGTATCTGAAAATTGGATTTGAGGTATATCATCTGAATTCACACAATGAAATATTTCAAGTTAAGCAAGTATAACTTAGAAACAAATTTTAATATGAAAAATCCCAGAATATAATGCCTTGTCATATCAGTTATTTAGAGGATTATTCACATATTTGGAATCTTTGCTCCTGCTCCCAAACATGGATACAAAGAGAAGGTTAGGACTGGCCAGAAAGACTAATTAAAAATGTTATCACTCATTTTAATTCACTGCAGGCACTCAAATCTGCATTAAACAAACATAAAAACCATTCTGATTCACTTCAAATTAAAATAAACATTGCCTACTATTAGTTACATTTCAAGTAAATGATTTCCTTTTAATAAAACACTATCATGCTAGCCTTTGATTGAATACCAATATTATAAAGTAGCTATGTAAACTCTATTCTGTAATGTTTGTGATAAATTTAAAGCTCTCTTCCACCTAAGGAATTTTTTTCTAATAGCAATTAAAGTTGAATTACTGATATCTAGAAAATATCTTTTCTAAAATCAATAGCATTCAAGGTAGTAGGCTTAAATAAGATAGCAATGGGTTGTTTTTTTTTTTAAGAGTGGATTGTGGTAGCAGTAGTTCAAATTTCACAGTAGCTTGCTTTAGGATGGAAGGGAATTTAGGAATCTCCCAGGTCACCCCCACATTTCATAAGGAAACCGGATCCTCCCAATGCTCTGATACTGATAGGGCCAGAACACAGCCTACCGCTCCTGACTCCCAGGCACAGAAATGCTCCTTCAAGTTTTTTTCATATCAAATTCAACCAATTTGTATCAATGCCAAACTATTTTTTGTGCCAAATAATTAATTCAAAAGAATAATTGTTGAAACACACACACACACACACACACACACACACACAGAACCGCACTCAGTCACGTAAGTAAGCACCACAGCAGCCAGTTTACCAGCTTCTTGTGATATTTTCAAAACCCAATTAGGGATTTCATGCCATAAAGATTTTTTCAAATCACTTATTTTGATTACGACTTTCAAACTGCCCCAGTGCTGGAGCCCACATATTCGTGCAAATGAGTGCGCTGTCTCTCGCTCTCCCTCTCCCTTGCGCTCTCTCCCTCCATCTCTCTCCCTCCATCTCTCTAAAGAACTGTGAGTGGAAGTCGGCAGCATTTTCTATAATCCTACTCTGTTTGAGTCAGGTGTGTTGACCCATCCTGGCGACTCTCAGCATTATAGACAACAATTCTGAGGGAAGAGTTCGTTTCCAACAATATATTTTAGTATGGATCCTGGTCTATTTTATTATTATTTCATAAACCAGCTTAATCTCTCAAGAAACCAACTGATGGAAGAACTTCACTTTTTAAACACATTCTATTAGTGCCATAAAAATATTAGTCATGTGCATACATGTGCAGTTTATTCATTTTCTGAAATTATTTTTCCCAAAGCAAACCTTTAACAAAATCAGTAAACTGAGAAAGGAAAATAAACCACGAAGTTATTCCACCAGCGTATAATAGCAAAATAAAAAAGAAAAGTAATAGAATGTACTATATCGAATAGTACATTCGATATTCAATTCTGAGACACTTAATCCAGTTAAAATGTATAAAATGCCATCTTGGATTTTTAAAATTAGCAATATATGAATAATTCATAAAAGTTGCCTTTGCACTAAATTTCCTTTAAATTTATGGTCAAAGAAATAGCAAAACCAACTTTTTAAATTCGACTTCATGGTATTGCCAATGTTTTAAACAGCCTTTACCTGACCACTAAAACACAGTAATTTCTCTCTTCAATTTCAGTAAAATGCCTTTCTAAAAACTGAAGCCAACAGCTTTTTGATACTTATGCAAAAAACATTTTTAAAAAATCTAAAACTAAATTTAACCAAATATTTTAAGTTACATCTTAACTACTACACTTGAATCCTTACGGGGGGGGGGGGATATTTACTTCCTTGGAATGACATGACACAATGTTTTCTTAGCAAACTTCCCCCACCACTAAGTAAACTATTAATTAAAACAGATTAATTCTGCATTTAATCTGTTGTAGCCCTTGCAGAAAGATCTCTAAAATAACACCCCAGCTATAGCACTATGCATGTATAGTCATACGTGTATACAGATATATTTATAATCCTTGTTTTTTAACCTAGAGTTTGCACTCTTACCAGCTATGCACTGCTGGGCAAGTTATTATATCTTTCTGGTACTCAATTTCTCATCTGTAAAATGGGATAATAATTGAACTTACCTTGTGGGCTTGTGAGGACTGATTCAATGTTAGCTTACCACCTCATATAAATTTCCTAAGCACATATAAATGATCATACTCTCAAAAAATACAAATTCAGTGGGGCATTTTGATGTTCAGTTAACTATGAAATTCCCTGTATCCCTTATCTCTCGACTAGACTGGCAGCTCATTAATTCAAAAACATCAAACAAATGTGACTCTTGCAGAACAAGGATACACTAGTGGCAAGAAAGACAAGTGATCTTGGCCTGGATCTATTATTAGGCATGGTTAATTATCTACACCCCTAGTGTTAACACTGGAAAAGAAACAAATGGGTGAAAAGGCATCATTAAAAGAGTCACTCTGAGATCTACGGTTTCACAGTATTCAAAAATAAATGGGCATGAAGAAGTGACTTAGGTCATTTCTCCAGTCGCCCTTGCTGACACACGGCAGGTCAGAAATTGCAAAGAGGTTTCAAAGGAAATTAGTGAGTTCAGACTGCCCGGTTCAGAGAGGTCCCAGGTTTAAAATATTAGCAGTGAGAGAACTGCAGTTTCAGTTTAAGAGTTGGTTTTCAGAACCTCACCACCTTACAGCAGAGAAAAGGGCATTTTTTGGTTACAGAGGTACTGCATACAGGTAGAAAATGCTCACCAGTTTCCACACATGACAGACATTTGTATCCCTGTCTTATTTACGCTCATGTAAATAAGCAGGGAAGAACCAACCCTGATTCTCTCGTCAGGCTAGAGAGGTATTCCAGTTCATAATTACGACATCACTAACTACCTGGTATGAATTATGCCAAGTCACACAACTATCTATGGGAAGATTACAATGAGAAATTTACCAAAGAAACAGCTGAGTATTTTGTTCCAAATTACACTCCTCCCCTGCCAAAACGCTGTCTGGTAACTAACTCGTGTTCTAAGAAGAGCTCTGATATGAGCACAGACAATTCAAACGCTCTTTCCTTATTCATCTTAATCTCTGAGTGGAACACAATCTTACCGGAAAAGGAAAAATGTTGTCAGCCCTGTTCAGGCTATCCTCCATCCAGGACTTAGGAGCAAAGGCAGAGCTGGGGCGGGCGTACTTCTGCAGCTGAATATGATTGCTTGCAAAATTTTTCTTCAGAGGTGAGATGGAGTTCAGGGGCGTTATTCCCCCATTCAGCCCCCTGCGGTGGTCGCGGCCTTGGGAACCTCCCCAGCCACCATACCCACCGCCTCCTGGGCTCCAGGAAGACGACGGTGTCGGAGAGGGGCTCTGGTAGCTGCTCCATGGAGAGGGGGGCTTGTTGAGATTATTCGCCAAATGCGGCAGCTGGTTGAAAGCAGCATTTCTGTGTGTGAAGGGTGGCGGGTGGGGACTGGCAGGAGACCTCCTCTGCTGCTGATGCTGGCTGTGATGGTGCTGGAAGTGAGGATGATGAGGGTGGTGCTGTGAGAGAGGCCCGATCTGAGGGGAGAAGCTGCCTCCGAAGCCAGGGCTGACGTGGTGGGGGAAATTTTGAAACAACAGAGCACCGTTATTAGCTGAAGCAGCTGGGACCCCTCCCTGGTGAAAGAAACTGGCATCTTCGTTGATGATCGTCGAGGAGGAAGGCGCGATGGCGGCCGACCAGTTACTGAAGCCGGTGAGCGAGGACGCACTGGACGTCAGGGTCTGGGTGGAAGTGCCCAGCCCCGCGGCCTCCTGGTAATCAAACCCTGTCAACACTGGTGACTCGATTCGGATTTTCTCCTTCCCGTTGCCGTTTTCCGAAGAGCTGTCCCCCTGATTTTCCTCCGATTTTGCCTTCTCGGTCTCGGGCAGTATTCCAGCTTCCTGGCCTGGGCTGGGGGAGAGCTGCTGCTTGTCCAGAGGGTCTTGCTGTTCCTGTTGCTGACTTTTTGCTTTCTCTGACCCCAAGATCTCATCCTGAATGTTGTGGGCGGCAGGAGCAGGGAAGAGCCAGGCTGAGCCGGCGCTGCTGCCATTGGCAGCTGTGTTATTATTTATAAAAGCAGCAGGGCTGGGGGTGGCATTTTGGTGATGGTGTGGAGGCTGCAGGTGCGGATGGAACCGGACTGGAAAAGCAGATTTATTCCCAGTGTTGCTTTGCACTAGCACTCCAAACCCGTAATCCCCCATTTATTATTTTTAGGAGCAGAATCTTACAATAAAAAAAAAAAAATGACAACCTGATGTCTCACGCCTTTGTATCCTCTACCCCAAATATGTCTGTTTGAAATGTCTTATTTATAGCTAGCTCAAAGATCGCAGCTTATCACCCTAAATAGTTCTGATTTGGAATTCTGGTCTCTGAAAGGGGAAAAAAAAAAAACTGAAAAATCAAAATCTCTTAAAACATTGACATGAATCCAACTGGGCTTATTTCTAGGAGGGAATAAAAACGAAGAGGGTAAAAAATCAAGTCTTTGGTTAGTAAAATAGGCGCTTTCTTTTTCCAAAGGAAAATGTACATGAATGACAAAAACACAGCTCCTCAAGCATCTATACACGTAGAAGAATAAGCATTGCGCGGAGTAAAAATATATATATATATAATTTAACAATCACAGACGGTCTTCCTCAGCAGTTTAGATTCACTCACGTAGAAATTAGAACAGGGCTAAAGGGGAGAATACGTTCTTTTCTTGGCAGCTTGGTTAAAAAAATCAGGAATAATTTAAGAACATTATATATTATATATTTATATATAGATAGATAGATTATATTAGACTATCTGGGGCGGGAGGTGGGTTCCCGGCTGCGGGCGAGGCGATCGGCATTGACTAATGGGAAGGCGATCGCAGGGGGGGTCCGGCCGTTCCGGGTCGCGGTCCTGCTCCTGCGCGGGCTGCAGCTTCGGCCTCGGGGGCTGGTCCTGAGGCTCCGGGTGCAGGTCTTGCCGCGGTCGCTGCTCCTGGGCTCCCCCGCGGCTTCCTCTCCCCCATGAAACGGGCCGGAGACACCCGTTTCTCCTCCCTCGGAGGGGGGTCGCGATCGGGAAGGGTTAGCGAGACTCGACGAGGACGAGCCGGCGGCCCGGGCGTGCGGGGACCAAGGGGGCGACCTGGAAGGTCCTGCGGTTTCGGCCTCTTCCCCTCTCGGCGGCTCCGGGGTTTTTTTCCCTCATGGGACCCAGGGGCGGTTTGTTCGGTTCTCTCAGTTCGATTCTCCGCAGGGGGGGGGGGGCGCCCGAGAAAGAGGAAAAAAAAGGAAAAACCCGCTAGTGTAGTTATCCTAACGGAGAAGGGCCTCAACCCCTTAGCTCTCTCTTTTTCCCCCGAGATTTTTTTTTAACTATAATTTAGAAGGCTTTTGTTTTCTCCTCACGGTTGCTGGGCCGTCGTCGTCGTCGTCGTCGCCGCCACCGCCGCCGCCGTCGCTTTACCCCGGTCCCGCAGTCCCCGCGGTTGTTGTTGCGGACTCCTCCGCCTGGCTCGTCTTCTCTCCTTTTTCCTCCTCTTTCTCCTCTGCTGTCGCCGCTGCCACCGCCGCCGCCGCCGCCGGCGCCACCGCCTCCCGGTGCCCGGGTCCCGCAGCCGCGGCTGAGTCCTTCTCCTAAGGACCGAGCCGAGTGAAATGACAACCAGCTGGAAAGACCGAGAGACACTTCCGGTTCGAAGAGGGAGGGGAGGGGTACGGCGGACACACCGCCCACCTGCCTAGAGACCAATCAGCTGTTAGAATTTAGACTGGGCCACGCCCCTCCACTTACGTCCCCTCCCAGGAAGGTCGAAACGGTATCTCGGGAGACGCCCCTTCCGCTGTGCCTCTCCCAGGGAAGCCGGCTGCCTGGAGCCAGCTCCCCTACGCAGAGAGAGCGCAGCTGGTCGCCATCTTTAGTGTGGGCAGAGGCCTCCTTCGCTGTTTGTCTTCCCTAGCCACACTTTGCTAGGGTAGCATGTAGAAGCGCGCGGAAGAGAATAGATTCCTTGAGCACCACGAAAAAGAGTCAAGGTGTTGGGGATCGGTGTTGGGGATCGGAGTGGCGACCCTCGAAAACACGGATGAACGGAAGGACTGCCCACAGTAAAGGTGGCTGCCTAGGCGTTACTTGCTTTGGCCCGAGCTCCGCCCCAGAAGGAGTCTTCCCAGCAGCTAGGTGGTGCCTAGAACTGCGTACTACGTCCCTCTCCTGGATGTAGACCTCACGCGTGACTCTCCCTTCATCTCCCATTCCCCCACCCCCACCCCCAGCCTGCTCTGGCGTAGCCTCTCAGGCTCAAAGATACAGCTGCCCTAGGCGCCCGTGGCTGATCCCTCACCCCCACCCCGTTCTAGTGCACCTTACATGCTGTAGCAGAGGGACATTTTTGAAACGAAAATCTTGCAGTTTTGAAAATCCTTACCTGCTCAGATCTCTTCTATGGCTATCCATTTCCTAACTTTTGCATTCAAGGCTTCTGCACTTCTATGGGCAGTAAATCATAACGTCTCACCTCCCTCCAAACACCCCACACCCTTCCTGTCTTCTGCACCTGTCAAACCCCTATTTAGTTTTAGAAATCTGTTCAAAAGCTACCCACTCTGCCTTCTGAATTCTCTCTAAGCATCCATGCCCCTGTGTACATCTCATGCTTTTTGTTTTTTTTAATCACAATATATTGTAATGGTTGCTTATGTTGGCCGGACTTGTGCTCCACTGTGGGCTCTTTGCAGAGAGGACCTTGTCTTTCCTGAATGACAGTCCCCTTTCCAAGTCTGAATGATGGCATTCCTTCTGCCATTTGGTTTGGAGCTCACATCTCTCCAGCTTTCTTGTTTAGCTTACTCACTCGCTGCTGTTCAAGGGTACATCTTGTTCATCTCTGTACACTCCCACCACTGTGACAGCCATTGGGGTATGCGTTAGTGCCTCGCTTCAGCACCAGCCCTGGAGATGCAGAGGAAGCGAGTGTTTTCCTTTAGCAGGAAATTAAACATGAAAAAAAGAGAGAGAGAGAGAAGAAGTCAGAGTAGAGCCAGAAGTGGCTATGACAAGAGTAGGGATAAAAGAGAGATCATAGACCTTCAAGGAGACTCTCACGAACAAGGATGGCTTCTACTTCATTTCTGTAGCCTTCGCTCCAGGGCTGAGACTTCCGCCGCCTGTTTTTCAGTCCCCCAGCACTTCCATGTAGAACACCTGTTGGAGCCCTGGTGATTTTATTCCCTTGCATTGTGTCACAATGCATCTTATCTCTGCAACTCGACTGCATGTGCTGATGACTGCAGCTCAGAGACCGGGGCTTACTCTGCTGTTTATTGCCCGCAACTGGACACACCTTCAGCCTTAGCTGGTTCGGTTAGGTGCCGTTTCCTCCAGGTTGGTTCCTGACTGTCCCCCTCTCTAGCATCTGACAGATTCCCCTTTGTAAATTACTGCTGGTTGTCAGTGAGTTCATTTCTTGAGGGCAAAGTTTGTGTCTGATTTATCTTTCTGTCTCTGGTAGCCAGCAGAAGGCCTGGCATAGAGCAGACTCAGGACATGTTTATTAAATGAATGAATGAATGTTGAGTGCCCAGGAGATGGCTGAGAGTCTTTGGAGCTCCCCGTTCTCAGTGGCTAAAATGGCAGCCATGGCTTGGAGCGAAGAGGACTGACTGACTATCTTTGGAATCGATGCACCTGAATTTGAGTCCCAGCTCTGCACTTCCTGTTGTACAGCCCCAGGCATCCCCTCTACAAGCCTCTGGCTCCTCGGAGATAAAGTGCGAATGATAGTTCCCCCTGCACTAGGTTGGTAAATGACATGAGATACGTGTGAAGTGCCTGGGCTCATAGGAGGTTTTCAAAAACGTCAGTTCCTTATTAATATATTAAATGCAGAGGACTGCTCACAGATGTCGTTTGCTTAGAAGCAGCTGCATGCATGAGTGAATCCAGGAACCTGTGTGGGTTTGCAGGGGGAGGAGGCACTCCCGAGCACAGTCAGGGTGCTGCCAGGGCAGCCTGATCCTGTAAAACTGTAACAATCGTGGGCAGTAGGGTTGGGCTGGGCTTCAGCTAGAGTGATCAGTGTAGATGCCACGCTCCTGGTTAGGGACTAGGAGCGTGGGAGAAGGAAGGGGGAAGCAATTCTCCTGGCTCGGTTGCCTACTCAGAAACCCAGGATACCCAGCTCAGGGCTGCCCTCCTTCAAAACATTCTGGCCTCAGAAACGGTCCCAGGTAACCATGACAACAATTCAGCAGCTCCATTTAGGATCTCCAAAGGGATCTAGTGTTGCAGATGACTGCTGGCTTGAACACTCTGCTGGCAGGAGAGGGCCCCTCCCATGAAGCAGGCTCACTGGGAAGCTTTTGGGTTGAAGAGAAAGCCACCTCTGCCCAACCATGAAGGTGCTACTAGATTTTATAAAAGGAAAAAAACAAAACAAAACAAAACCTCCCTGCTTGTCCAGCGAGGGCTGACACACCTTTAGAGGACCTGCAGGTTGGTAAATGAATGTACCCTGCCGGCTATTGCCCAGCCCCCTCTGGGGTTTGAGGTCAACCACACCCCAAACCCGGAGCCTCCCAGGAAGCACAGCCCTAATATCTTCTTCCCCAGCCACTCTTAAAGCTTGGCAGACCATATAAATCTCACCCCATAATCACACAGAGTGAACTCTGCCCTATTCCAGCTCTGAGGTCCTCCACGTCGTCAGCCTTGTCCCACCCACACACACCCGAGCTCTCCAAGGGCCCCATCAGATGACTTTGGCCATCGGGGCTGCTACCCCTGTGGGCCGCCCAGGCTGTGCACGCTGTGTGGCTCCGCCCGGCACCAAAGACTGGATGGTGTGCGCACCAGCCCCTGGTGCCGCACAACGCGTCAGCCCTGCTTTGGTTCATTTCCATGAGACACAGAGCACGCTGTGGAAATTATGACACCCATCCCAACAAAGCCACCAGATACGACCATAAATTATACATGAGCACATGCTCATCACAGGCGGAAATATTGGGAACAATGGATCCTTTTAGAGGTGGTGGCCCAGGAGCTCTCCGTGATGGAGCTGAAGGACACGGTGTCCTCGGTGCTGTTTTGGGTAGGGAGCCCAGTGAGAAGACAAGTCCTGGCAGGTACACGGTCCAGTCCCCTAAGAGATGAATACCCAGCAGCAATTGCCTGGCAGCGCTAATAAGCCTTCTAACGTAGTGGTGGAGTATACATCTTAGTTAAACCCAAAACATGCAGTGATGCCCAAAGCGAGTTCTGTGGCGGCAGGGAAGGGAGAAGAGCGGAGTTACCGTGGGATCGGTACCTGGGAGCTCACCCCCGGAAGGGCAGAAGGAACACCAAGGCCCTGCAACAGGTTTCCCTTCGGCCCACCTCTGCTCTTCACCCCGCTTCAGTATTGCAAAGTGTGTATGTTTACTGAGACAACCCCATTGTTTTTTTTTTTAGCAGTTAATTGGTAGGTTACATTTTCTCTTTTTGTTTGTTGTTCTGTAGCCCTCTGCATTTTAAACAGTGTTTTCCTCCTGCTTTCCCATTGAATGCGTTAGCATTAACACAGCGTCCACAGTGGACAAGGCGTTTGGATGGGGAGTGGTGAAGCCAGTTTCTCCAGTGCATTGTTACTGAATGAATGGCTTGGAAAGGTCCCGGACACAGATGCGCTTCGCTTGGGATCGCGGTGTGCTGGCAAAGACCTAGGTGCGCTGGAACAGGGGGCTGGCCCTCCAGTGACGCGCCTCATGTGGCACGACTTGGCTTCTTCTGTGGCTCCAGCCACCTGGGTGGACGGGCTGCTGCCCCAGATCACCTCTTGCAGCTTCGACTGGACACACTGCACTTCTCTGCATCGGGGCCCTGGCCGCGCTGCCCCAGAGCTGCCGTCTCGCACGCACGCCCTGTGGCTATGCAGAAGGACTGTCACTGCGATGCTGCAAACCGAATAGCCTTTTGGAGCTCGCAGGAAGATGCAGGGTCCAGGGCCCAGAGAGCTGGGGGTCCGAGACCAAACCTGTGGCCCCGACAGCCATCAACTCAGTCCCTGGTCCAGTTTGTCCAGTTGGATGATTTCCTTCGGGCCAGAATATTTATGACCAAAGGAGTTTCATTTCAGAACCTTTTAGCAATGAAGGTTCAAAGAAAGTCATCTATAAAACAAAACAAAACACTAAAGCTGGCCCTTTCTTTTATGTCCACGTTGCTTGCTCCCTATTCTTGGAGTCCATACATCACTAAGGAACAGTTGCAAGGGTTGATTCGAAAGCATCCAACCCCAAACTCTAGCGTGCATTAGTACCCGTGGGAGTCCCTCGGCCGCAATTCCCAGGCACGGCCCCCAGGAATTCTGATTGAGTTTTCTCGTGGTATTTTCTGAAAACGTTAGAAGGTACAAGAGATTTTCTCATCATAACGTGAAAGCCCAGACAAACCGAAAGAAGAATGGCTGGGACAAGAGAGTTCCTCTCTCGCGTACGGGAGGTCGGGAGGGTCAACGCAGGGCCGGCGGGGCGGTCTCAGGAAGTCATCAGAAACCAGCTTCCTTCCCGCTCACTGTTTCTCCCACCTCAACATGTAACTTCTGCCTTTTGATCTAAGATAGCGGACCAAGCTCCAGCCATCGCGTCTGCATTCCAGGTGGAAGGCAGGAGGAAA